GACTGTAGCCGTTTCTGTATTACCTTGAGCAAAACTTTGCTTGCTTGAGATATCAAAGAGATTGTCCGATGATTTCCGCATTCCGTTGGGTCACCTACCTGAATTCAGAGACCACCTCAAGGACAGATTTGATACATTAGACACTTAAGACCGAAGACCAGGAGAGTTATGGAATTGCATCAGAACATCATACAGGAAGAAAGCAAAAGGTCATTAAGAAGACAAGAAAGAATGAGAAGACCAAAATGAAAGTTAGAAGATTCTAAAACTTGCTCTCCAGTGTAAAGATATTAAAGCAAATGGAAGAATTGAGGAGGGAAAAAGGCTGAACAGAAAGATTCAAAGGTCAGCTCCAGAAGACAAAGTCAAGTATTACAATCAAATGTGTAAAACCTGGAGTATATACAAAACCAAAAGGGAAGAACATACTCAGCATTTCTCAAGCTGAAAGAACTGAAGAAAAAAATTCAAGCCTTGACTCACAATATCGAATGATGCAGAAAGCATCAAAAGAAGATGGAAGGAACACACAGAGTCACTGTATCAAAAAGAAATAAATGGTCAGTGTTCAAGCATTTCAACAGGTTGTGTATTATCAAGAGCAAATGGTACATAACGAAGACGTTCAGGGTGCATTGAAGGCATTGGCAAAGAACAAGAATGTGGGAATTGTTAGAATACAAATTGAAATCTTTCAGCAGACTGACGCAGCACTGGAAGCATTCACTCATCTATGTCAAGAAATTTGGGAGACAGCTACCTGGCCAACTGATTGGAAGAGATTCATATTTGTGTCTATTCCTAAGAGATGTAACCCAATAAAATTCAGAAATCATTGGAAAATGTCAATATCACATGCAAGTAAAATTTTACAAAAGATAATTCAAAAACAGCTGCAACAGTATATCGACAAGGAACTAACTGTCTGTACTTCAAGCCAGCTTCAGATAAAGAGCAAGGGATATCATTGCTGACATCAAATGGATCTTGGTTAAAAGCAGAGAATACCAGAAAGATGTTTACCTGTGCTTTATTGACTATGCAAAGGCTTTTCACTGTGTGGATTGTGATAAGCTATGGATAACATTGTGAAGAACGGGTATTCTAGAATACTTAATTGTGCTCATGAGGAACCTGTACTTAGACCAAGAGGTGATCATTCAAACAAAACAATGCAACACTGAATGGTTTAAAATCAGGAAAAGTGTATGTTAGGGTTATATTCTTTCATCATAATATTTATTCAATTTATATGCTGAGCAAGTAATCTGAAAAGCTGGATTATATGAAGAAAAACATGGCATCAGGATTGGCGAAAGATTCATTAACAATCTGTGATATGCAAATGATACAACCCTGCTTGCTGAAAACACAGAGGACATAACATACTTACTGATAAAGATCAAAGACTACAGCCTTCAGTAGAGGTTGCACCTCAACGGAAAAAAAACAAAAACAAAATCCTCACCACTGGACCAATAAATAATATCATGATAAATGGAGAAAAGATTGAAGTTACAAACACTTCCTTTTGCTTGGATCCACTATCAACTCACATGGAAGCAGCAGTCAAAAAATCAAATGATGTCCCCCACGTAGAAGCAACTTCTTGGCTCCTTCTCCAATTTCTGTCTAGTTCTACTGTTGCCTTCTCTTCAACCTCCACCATGTCCATCAGGCTAACCCAGAAATCCTACAAGGTGTCCACCTTTGGCCCTCGGGCCTTCAGCAGCCACTCTTACACAAGCGGACCTGTCTCCTGAATCAGCTCCTCGTCCTTCTCCCGAATGGGCAGTAGCAGCAGCAGCAGCAGCTACTGGGGTGGCCTGGGCGGTAGCATGGGTCTGGCCAGGAGCTATAGCGTAGTAGGAGGTATGGGGGGCATCACGGCCGTCACAGTGAACCAGAGCCTGCTGAGCCCCATTAAGTGGGAAATGGACCCCAATTTCCAGGCCGTACACACCCAGGAAAAGGAGATCAAGACCCCTGAACAATAAGTTTGCCTCCTTCATTGACAAGGTGCAGTTCCTGGAGCAGCAGAACAAGACACTCAAGACCATATGGAGCCTTCTGCAACAGCAGACCTCTAGTAGCAACATGGACAACATGTGTGAGAGCTACATCAACAACCTGAGGCAGCAGCTGGACATGCTGAGTCAGGAGAAACTGAAGTTGGAGGCAGAGCTGGACAAC